CATGAACTTACTGCCATATGTACCCTTTCCTCCCACCCATGGCAGCCAGGGCCTGATGGGGCATCCCACAACTTGCTCTGTTGTTGGGGTCTGTGTTGCCCTCTGGCTGTATGGGGAGACAGGATAGGGGCTGCTGTGGGGGCCTCATTGGACTGCAGGGTTGGACCCTGTGACTGTTCATTCTCCCTGACTCGGTGGGAGGCCCAGGGTCCCTCTTCTCAGCCTGTGAGGAGTGATCTAAACAATCATTCCCCCTGGGTGGGTACCTGTGCCTAGGCTCTGAGCCCACAGGGTATGATGGTTTTGCATACCCTGCCCACCAGCCCTTCCTGGTCCTACTGTGCTGGACTGAGGGAGGCAGGGGTAGGTGGCATGGGGAGGAATGGAGCTTCGGGGGCAGGCAGAGCCCTTGGCAAGTCTGGAGGGTAAGGAGCAGGGTGGGCCTGGGTGCCAAAAGGAGGAGCTCTAGGCAGAGTCCTAGCATGGAAAAGGCCTTGGGGTGCCCAGGAGGCACTGGTGATGGCTCCGGGGTGGCAGGTGAAGGCCATGGACCTGGGTCCAGGCTGAAGAACTGGGGTGCTGGGCCTGCGAGGGTGTGGGGGGATGTGTAAGAGTGGGATGGACCTGTCTCCTCCCCGTGTTCTGGGGACCTATGCCCCTTAGGATCACTGCCGTGGGCATCTCAGGAGCAGCAGAGGGTCCCTACCAGGCCCAACTGTCAAGGGGAGGAGGCCAGGTAGAACAGAACCCAGTACACCACCAGTGTGGGAAAACTGAGGGAGTTGGGGAGGGTCTGCCTGGGGGTCCCAGCTGTGCCCCCCAACATCCCATCTGAACCCTGAGTCCCTGCAGAGGAGCCTGGCCACAGTGGATGGGGCACCCGGGACCAGCAGGGCGCAACCTGGCGGGCTGGTGCATTGTTGTTAGCGTCTGTGGCTAGATTCCGCCCTGTACAGTAATTGTCCCTGCACTGCCAGTAATCGCCCTGACTTACCAGGCAGGCATCATTTCCTGAAAGTCAGCAGGCCTTAGGGGAAGTAGGCGCTGGTGGTGACTAAACCAACATGCAAATGCAGCCGGGCTGAGGGCTGAGAGCAGAGCCATCTGCGGGCCCAGCACCGAAGGTCATGAGGGAGTGCTCCTTCCAGGGGACCCACCGGTGGCCAAGCCATGTCCCAGCTGCAGTTCTGGCTGCAGTTTGCAGCACTCAACAAGGTAACCCTCCCGCTTTGCCTCAGGGGTCAATCGGTCCCCTCCCACCTGGCAGGCAGGTCAGGCCACTGTGAGGACTGACTGGATCCACCAGACCTGGGGCGTCCCCTCCCCCTGGTTCTCCTGGCTCCCTTTGGCTTTTTTGGCAGGGGCAGTGGATCTGCAGGAGTTTTCTGAGAACTGTGGGTTGGGACGAGGGGAGGGATCAGGGAGGCGCTGCAAAATGAAAGTGCTTGTGGCCAGCGGGGGAGGTGGGAAGGGCTGTGTCTGTGTGCCTGCTCTGATCTGGGTGTTCCTGGCGTTGGACCTTGAGAGTTTTGTGGGCTCTGGGATGTCCTGGGGCAGCCATCAGAGTCTCTGCCAGCAGCAGCGGACACGGTTTGGGATGGGGTCTGACTGGACAGGTAGGAATGGGTATCTAACTCCTCCTCTCCCTATGACCCAGGCAAGTGGTTAGTCCCTGCGGGGGGGGGGGGGGGTGGGGGAGGGGCCGGGGGAGACAGTGAAAGAACCCATTTGAAGATCATTTCCTAGAGGAGGCCCACAGCCCGGTCAGGTGGAGGGGCCGTCCTGTCCCATCCAGCTGGGCTGGGAGGAGGGTTCCTGTCTAGACAGCTCCTCACCTGGTCCAGGGGACCCCCAAAATGCTGCAGATATGGTAACCACAGCGAGTGACCCCACACTCTCCTGGGTAACCAGCCGGCTCCCTCTCCATTCAGGGGCTGCAGCAGGAAGAACAGTCTGGGGTCTGGGGAGCAGGTGTTCCAGGTGGGGACCCAGGGAGGGCGGTTCTGGGTTTGAGTGGTCTTGGGGGTCTGCTGGTAGCTGCTGGGAATCAGGTCCCCACACAAGCTGGTGGGCAGGCAGCCCACCAGGGAGAGGTCCCTTCTCACCCCCATCCAGCTGCCCACCCTGCACAGGGAGTGGAGCTTACCTCCCCCTGATCTGTGGTGACCTGCATGAGGCCCCTCCTCACTTTGCCTGAGAATCTGGGAGCCCCCACATTGCTAGCTGTTGGTCTGGGCATCTGGAGGTGGTGTCCACAGAGTGGGGCAAAAGCACCCACTTAACAGATATTTTTAAAACAGTTTTAGATTCACAGAATTATTACAGATGGTGTATATTCCAGTGTGCGCTGCCCAGTCCCCCTGCCCACACTGATGTCACTGCAGTACCTTTGTCACAGCTAATGAGCCAGGACTGAGACATCATTAATAACCAAAGTCTATATTTAGTAGATTGTCTCAGTTTCCCCTGATGGCCTCTCTCTGCCCCAGAACCCCATCAGGATCCCCTGTGATAACTCAATCATCGTGTCCCCTTAGCCCCCCGCCCCCCAACTGAGTCGGTTTCTCCTCTTTCCTATGTGGATGCCCTGGGCTGTTGTGTCCTACAGGATGTCCCCGTCAGGGTTTTCTGGTCTTTCTCATGTTTGCACTGAGGGATGTGCCCTACTCATTTGCCACATCAGGGTTCCTGTGTCCCCATGGCTCCTCATGGCTAACTAACATTGATCCTCATCTCCTGGCTGGGGCACTAATCAGGCTTTTCCACTGGGAAGTCCCCTCCCCTTCCACTGTCCGCTCAGGAGGGGATCTCTGCACACCCACATTTTGCCAGGACCAGTCTTCCTTCTCTGACCCCCAGCCTTGCCCACTGCTCAGGGACCCTTTACCTTCAGAAAGCAGGGCCACCTCTCAGGGTCTCAGGAGCTAGCATCACTCTGACCAGGCTCAGGCAGTACCCATCATGGACCTGCTCAGATGTGGCCCCAGAGGGATTTCAGCCAAGATATCTGGCCACCTCACCTGCACCCAGACCCCATCCTGTCCAGCCTGCTGGAGTCTCTGGCCCTGTCACTTATAGAGACCAGGTTGAAAGACTTACAGCCTGGCTCTCCTTGGCATTGGCCACCAGGCTTGGGCTGGGCCATCTCTGACCACCCCTGACCTGGGAGGGGTAGAGCCCAAGGGAGGTCCAGCCTGAGGGTTGTAGGGCCAGGCTCACCCATAGTTGTCTCCATTTCCCCTGAGACAGCTGTGCTGGTCTGAGTTGCTAGGCTCTTGCATGAGTGGGCTAGACACCCCAGGAGCCTCAAAGTGCACCCCCTTCGGTTCCTGCCTCTGTCCTGGAACTTGGAGCTTTTATTAACCTACCCACGCCACCATCTGTGGTGCCTGAGCAGGTCCTGCCTTCTATGGGGCAGCCGAAGGCCCCGCCTCTTCCTCTGTCCAGGTCATAGTCCTGCCAGCTGGAGGGGGGCAGAGGGGGGGGCTGGATCTTCACTGCCTCCTGCTCCCACCCCCACATGGATCCAGGCTGCTTGCAGCTGGGGGGCAGGCAGGGGTGAGGAATGGCCTGGTTGGTGGTCTGAGCTCTCTCCTTGCACACCATGGGTATGTGTGGCTGGCCCCTATGGCTCCCTGTGTGCACAGATGGCCAGGGCTCTGAAGGGTAGGTAGCAGGAGGCTCATTCAGGGCCCCCTGACTCCTGGTTGGCACCAGGACCGATCTTGTCCAGCAGATGGGTAAGACTGAGCCCTTGCGTCCAGCCATCTCAGGGGAGACTGCTGGGTGGAACCCAGTTCTATCCCCTCCCCACCCATTCCCTTGGAGCTGCCTCTTCCTGGGACTGTATATACACTGGTGTCAGAGTCAGAACTTCTGGGAAGCTGATGAGGTTGCCTGCAGATCCCCCCAACCCCCACCCCCCGGAATAGGAATCTGATTCAGATTGCTGAGAGGGGAGCCAGGAAAATAGGCCTCACAGGGGCATGGGTTAGGCCTGGGCACTGGCTGAGACCCAGACCAGTTAATTGTGGCATCACAGGTGCGTTAGGGTAGGTTCCAGGGTCCCCTTCCTCCCTGGAGTCCATCAAACTGAGCCCTGAGTCCCCCCACACATCAGCCATTCTTCTGTCTTCACCCATGTATCCCAGCACACCTGGCCATAGCTCTTCAGTGCCTCCAATGTGTAAGTGGTGCACAGGGTCTGGGGCTCCAGGAGGGCAGCCCTGCCTGGATCCTCACTGTGGCCTCTACCAAGGCCACTGGCCCTGCCTGCTCGGGAAATGCTCCCACAGACTGACTGAAATGCTTAGGGCCTGATGTCAGTGTGCCTGGCCCTCTATGGCTTCGGCTGAGCAGGCTGGAGGGGAGGTGCGCATCTGGGAGGTGCTTGTAGGGCTTTCTCCTGGTAGTGCTGGCTGAGGGCTGCTCGCCTGCACCCTCCCCAGCTCCTGGTCTTTCCAGGTCCCTGTCTGCAAAACAGATACCCACTGCAGGGAAGTCTGGTTGGGGGCTTGCTCCCTGCCTGTCCAGGACCCCTGAGGGCTGGTCTCCACATGTCCCGATGTCCAGTGCAAGCCAGGCACTTGGTGCCTCTGACTGAGGGATGGGGGTGTGGGGCAGCACGAATGCCTGACATTCCTGTTTTTCTTTAAATTTACATTTATAAACTGTGTGTAAACTCCATGCAGCAGGCTTCTCCCAAAGGTGCAGGGCCCCTTAGTCCTGACAAATCCCTACATTAGTGTCACCCACACAGGAATGGTCCAGAGAAGGCATGAAGCGGGTGTCACCTTCTAGTGTCACTCAGTGGGGTCAGTGCACAGCTCATGGGGTCTGGCTTCTCTCATAAGTGTCGTGTTTTCAGGATTCATCCACGTTGTGGCCAGTGTCAGAGCCTTGTTCCTCTCGTGGCTGAGCAGCATCTGCCCCTTGGCTAACCCCTCCTGCACCTGTCATGGGGCTGCTCTGGCTGTGCCCTCACCCAGCCTGTCTTCCAGGAATCCTCGTACCTCGATGACCTCTCTAACGCCTCCATCTTCTCTTCATCTGTGGACTCCCTCTCGGACATCGCAGATACCCCTGACTTCCTGCCCGCCGACAGCCTCAGCCAGGTGCCCACCATCTGGGACGTGAGCACCGGCCCCTCCGCCCAAGACAAGGTCAGTTCACCCTAAGGCCTCCATGCCAGTAGACAGGTCAGGGCTGTTCAGACGCTGATGAGGCTGTTGGTCCAGGGTCCTCACGTTTCCTGTACAGCCCAGAAAATGCAAGTGTTTGTGGAGGAAGCTCCTATGTTGGGCACCTTGCCCCTCCTTCTGTGTAGGTGCTGTCATAGCCAGGCACCACCCCTCCTGTGCCTCCAGTGGCTCAGTCTCCACGCTCTGCTCTGTGTTGGGCCTGCTAGGGAGATGGGGGTCCCCAGGATATGAGCAAAACATCATTTCTCATGGTTCTTACCCAGGATGGTCCTGCCCCCAGGGAATACTGGGCCATGTCTGGGGACATCTGTTGTTGTCACAACTGGGGGTGCTCCTGGCACCAAGAGGGTGGGGGCCAGGGATGCTGCTCTATCCTCCATAGTACTTGGATCAGCCCCCTACAGAGAATGACTCAGCCCCAATTTCAGCTGTGCTGAGGGGGAAAGATCCTGGGCTTGCTAAACATAAAGTCACATGATGGGATAGAAAGGTGGTGGGAATCCCTCTATAGAGGCCATTTGGGGCTGCGGGCTGGAGGAGTCATTGGCCAGGACAGGTGGCAGGAACAGCTCCTGCAAGGACCCTGTGATGCCCAGCCGGTGTAACATGCTCAGTGGTTGAGTGTCGACCTATGAACCAGGAGGTCACGGTTCAATTCCTGGTCAGGGCACATGCCCAGGTTTCTGGCTAGGTCCCCAGTAGGGGGTGTGCAGGAGGCAGGCAGCCAATCAATGATTCTCATCATTGATGTTTCTATCTTTCTCCCCCTCTCCCTTCCTCTCTGAAATCAATAAAAATGTATTTTATATATATAGTAGAGGCCCGATGCACGAAATCCATGCAAGCGTAGGCTTTTGCAGCCCTGGCTGCTGGGGCCCTCACAGCCTATGGCACTGCCCATGTCCGCCACCACACACCCCCGATTTCCTGGTTTTGCGGAGCCCCCCCTGATCAGTCATCCCCCAGCCAGTGACCTGGGCCTCCCTCTTTGGGGCGATTGTGGAGCCCCCTAGTTGATTGCCCCACTGGCTGGTGGCCTGGGCGATGGTGGGCCCCCTGACCAATCACATCGCACCTGCCTTGGCTGGCCTGGTCCCAGTGCGTGTCATAGCATGGTCGTCTGGACAGTCGTTCTGCTGTTCGGCCATTCGGTCAATTTGCATATTACACTTTTTTTTATTATAAATATATATTTTAAAAAAACAGACCCTATGATAGGAACTAGCCTGATGGACCCCAAGGTCAGTAGTGGGCCCTGTGCGTGGCCAGGTGGGAACCAGGAGATGAGGCCAGCCCAGAGCTGTCACAGGTGAGCAGGGTCCCCAGGTATGCCAGGCCCAGACTCCAGCATATGCCCAGGACCAGGCAGTGGGGGCACCAAGCATGGAGCCTGCAGGGGGACAGGGAGTGCCCAGAGCAGCCCAGGGAGGTCCCTGTCGTTGGCAGCTTTGGTAGACAATTCAGGCCCATCTCTGTCTGGGTGAAAGGGCCCAGCAGGACAGGGGCATTACTCATGCCTTCCAGGGCCCTTGGGTGGCTTCCTGCTCCTGGGAAGAGGGTGTGAGGGCAGCCGAAACCCAACACTCACACCATGCAGCGAGCCAGCCCACCCTCCCGGAACCCTGACTCAGCCTTCTGGGAACCTGGCTGAGGTTGTTTGTTTTGTTAGTTTAAAGAAAAAAAATGGAGAGGGACTTGAGCAAAGGTTTCTAACTTCCCTGAGGACACTTTCACTGATTTTTAGAGAGGTGAGGGGAGAGGGAGTGGGAGAAAGAGAGATAAACATTGATGTGAGAGAGAAACATGGGCCGGCTGTCTCCTGAATGTGCCCCAACCAGGGCCAGGAATCCAACCCACAACCGAAGCACATAGCCTTTCAGTGCACAGGACCACACTCCCACCAACTGAGCCAGGGCATTTTAGTTTCTTAAAAAGAAAATTTTTTTGAGAAACAGCAATCAGGCCGAAACCGGTTTGGCTCAGTGGATAGAGCGTCAGCCTGCGGACTGAAGGGTCCCGGGTTCGATTCCGGTCAAGGGCATGTACCTGGGTTGCGGGCATATCCCCAGTGGGAGATGTGCAGGAGGCAGCTGATCGATTCTTCTCTCTCATCGATGTTTCTAACTCTCTATCTCTCTCCCTTCCTCTCTGTAAAAAATCAATAAAATATATTTAAAAAAAGAAACAGCGATCAGGCTATCAATCCCCAGAAGGAAAGTAGGGGAGGGCGGGGGTAAGGGGAAGAGATCAACCGAAGGACTTGTATACATGTATATAAGCCAAACCAATGGACATGGACAACAGGGGGATGGGAGCATGAGTGTGCGGGGCGGGGGCGAGGGGGGAGGTTGGGGTTAATGGGGGGGATGAGGACACATTTGTAATACCTTAACTAATAATAAAAAAAAAAAGAAAATTTTTGCCCTAGCTGGTTTGGCTCAGTGGATAGAGTGTCGGCCTATGGACTGAAAGGTCCCAGGTTCGATTCCAGTCAAGGGCATGTACCTTGGTTGCAGGCATATCCCCAGTGGGGGGTGTGCAGGAGGCAGCTGATCGATGTTTCTAACTCTCTATTCCTCTCCCTTCCTTTCTGTAAAAAATCAATAAAATATATTTTTTTAAAAAAAGAAAAGAAAATTTTGGCCGTAGCCAGTTTGGCTCAGTGGATAGAGTGTTGGCCTGCAGACAGAAGGGTCCCGAATTCAATTCTGGTCAAGGGCATATGCCTGGGTTGTGGGCTTAATCCCCAGTAAGGGGCATGCAGGAGGCAGCCAATCAATGATTTTCTCTCATTGATGTTTCCGTCTCTCTCCCTCTCCTTTCCTCTAATATATATATATGAAAACTTTGGCCATGTTCTTAGCCTTTGGAAAAAACTGGAATCATAAAATCAAGTTGGTTATCACATTACTGAATCCCCTGGTGACCCTTGTCCCTCTGAGACTGTAAATGACACTCGTGGTCCAGGGCATCCAGCACTCACAGTCATCGGTCTTGAGATGGTGGGGGTCTGTGTGGGGCTGGGGAGGATGGCCCATGTTACTTCCATGAAGCATGTTTTGTAGCCACATAGTAGGTCTTGGCCACCAGAACTAGCTGGCAGGCAGCAGGAAGGAGGCAGACAGCGAGTCCTGGGCAGAGGGCATGAGGATGGCATGGAAAACCTGAGTCTAGGCCAGTGGTCCTATCCAGGTGTTTCCTTGGCATGTCCAGCCTGCAGGCGCATGTCCACTCTCCCCTTCATCTCTCCTCCAGTTGTTCCTGCCCGGTGGGCCATTCACCGGCCTTGAGGACCCTGTGTCCTCCCTCTCCAGCACCCCACTTCTCGTCAGCTACCAGGTGAGCTGGGCCCTTCCCCAACCCTGCCCACCCCTCCTGGGACTAGGGAGGGCCATTCACACTCAGGCACCTACTATGTGTCAGACCCTGGGCTGGCTTAGAAGCAAGGTCTGCCCATTTCACAGGTGGGAAAACTGAGGTCCTGGGAGGTACCATATTGGGGCAGGAGACAGGTGGGCTCTCTCCCCACCACCCCCGTCACTGGTCTGGCTGGTGGACCAGGCCCCTGCCCCTTGGGGGAGGCTGGCCATGCTGGGCGACAGGACTGTCCCCACTATGACGACACCGGCCTTCAGTCTCAGAGTCAGCCAGAGGAGGAGGAGGAGGCGGAGGAGGAGGAGGCAGAGGAGCTGGGCCACACGGAGATCTATGCAGACTATGTGCCATCTAAGTGTGAGTGCACGGCCTCCCCTAGCCCCTGGCATGTGGGAGGAGACCCCTGGAGGACACCCCTAGCAGGCACCACAGGTCTACACAGACCCACTGAGCCTCATGGCTCCTGCAGGGAGGTGCCCAGTTCCAGGGTCCCTGAAGCAGCGAAGGTGGGCCTGTTAGGGGTGGAGGGAGGGGTGGTTCTATAATTGTGGTAATCTGAACCTTGCCTGAAACTGAGAAGGCTCAGAGGTTGCGATGGAAAGTAAGCCCACCTCCTCCCAGCCCAGCATCCCCCCTGCCCAGCCAGAGTGTTATGGGTCTGCCCCCTTCTCCTTTGTGCAAAACTCTGATGGGCCCCCTTCCCCCACCCTGCTCTGCTGGCCCCCATCCCGGTCCCTCCCACATCCTGGTCCAGCCCAGCTAAGACCCTGACCACACCCTTCCAGCCAAGGTCGGGAAGCAGCATCCAGACCGTGTTGTGGAGACCAGCACACTGTCCAGCGTCCCACCACCAGACATCACCTACACCCTTGCCCTGCCTACCTCGGACAGCGGGGTCCTGTCTGCCTTGCAACTGGAGGCCATCACCTATGCCTGCCAGGTGACTCCAGAGTCTCCCACCGACCCATCCCTAGTTGGATGGTGTCAATGCCCCACCTGACTCTGTACCCCATGGGGGGTTTTTGGTGCCTACCCAATCCATCCCATAGGGCGGGGGTGTCTTGGTGCCCACCTGACTCCGTCCTGTGGGGGGGGTCCTGATCATTGCCCCACACACCTACAGCAACACGAGGTCCTGCTCCCCAGTGGGCAGCGTGCAGGCTTCCTCATCGGCGATGGTGCTGGAGTGGGCAAAGGGCGCACTGTGGCTGGCATCATCCTTGAGAACTACCTTCGGGGCCGCAAGAAGTCCCTGTGGTAAGTGTCCCCCCTGTACATGGGGTGGACGGGACCAGGGGGTGTGGGGGATAGCTGACACCCACCAGCCTGCACCCTCCAGGTTCAGCGTCTCCAACGATCTGAAGTACGATGCTGAGCGTGACCTGCGTGACATCAATGCCCCTGACATTTCGGTGCACGCGCTGAGCAAGGTGGGTGGGTGGCCCTCTCCCCCATCTCCTGGCGAGGGGTGGGTCCTGGTGACCTTGCAAACGTGCCTATACCCACCCCTCTCCCCAGATCAAGTACGGTGACAACACTACCTCAGAGGGTGTCCTGTTCGCTACCTACTCCGCCCTGATTGGGGAGAGCCAGGCTGGTGGGCAGCATCGCACTCGAATCAGGCAGATCCTAGAATGGTGTGGGGCGGCCTTTGATGGCGTGGTATCCTAGCCCACTGAGGGGTGGGAAGGAAGGAGGGGGCAGAGGGGCACCGGAGGGTGGGAGGGGGTTGGAGGGAACAGGTACAGTAGAGGAGGGGGCAAGGTGGGCACCAAGGGGGGGAGGAGGAGGGGACTGGAGTGGTCAAAGGAGGGGGAGGAATGAGGGTGGGACTGGGCTGGAGGGGGCAGGGCCTAGGGGCGAGGAGGGTGGGGGTAAGGGGAGGGAGGTGTGGCTGCAGGGGTAGGGTTTAGGGTAGGGGCCTGTGAGTAGGAGGAGCAGGGTTGAGGGAGGCGCTGGAGGGGCTCCGGGAGTCCTGGAGGCCAGGGCGTGAAGCTGGTGGGGGAGGAATTCCTGTGAGAGGACCCTGTGCCTGGGAGACTCGTCCCCAGGGGAGGCTCCCTCTCAGTGACCTCTGCTGTCTGCCCCTCACCATCTGGCTGGGCCCCCTGGTTCCAGCCCACAGGACTGTGACCACAGGCTCTGGGTGGTGTTTGGTAGTGGGAAGGTGCCACCTGGGCAGGCGTGTGGAGTGCGGACCTCTTCCTCCTGTCCCCACCCCAAGATTTGGGGGTCTGTAACTTTCCCTCCTTCGCTCTCAAAACTTGGATACTCAGATAACTTCATCTTCCACTCCTACCGACTAGAAGAGCAAAGAATAGGAAAGTGGCAGCAAGAGCACAGACAGTTTAACATGTCTTCGTTAACTTTTGCAAACCCCAGCCCCCAGGTTCACCCCGTAAGTGGGGCACCAGGTGGGAGGCCCTCAGTTCTGGGGATTTGTGCAAACCACCCCCCCACCCCTCCCCAAACTCCCCTGTACTCACAGGATCTGCCCCTGGCATGGAGGCTGCTTCCCATGTCCCTTCTGTGCAGCCCTGGGCTGGCTTGGTGCTATGGGCATCCTGTGGGTGCTCATCCTCCATCGTGCCACCTTCCCAGGTTGTCCTCTGTGTGCCATCTCATGTTGCTGTTCTCCCCACCTTAGCCGGGGCAGGTTTGCTTGTCACTGTGCAGCATGCTGCTCTGTTCTGTCCTTGCTCAGCCATTTCCCTGTCACAGGGGCATTCTGGGGGTTTCCAGCTTCTGTGTTATATGCAGCCCTGTGTGAGCCCCATCACCCCTTCTCATTGTGTCTTGGGTCATTCAGAAGGGGGGTGACCAGCTCTGGTGCTCCTGGTCCCAGTCAGAGATAAGAAGGGAGACGTGGGCCCTGTGTGTCCTTTCTGGTCACGTGGGCAAGTGTATGGATTTACTGGTTAAGTAATGCAGAACAGCTGGGTGCCCAAAGAAGAAACAAGGTTATTGGTGCGTCCTGGGCACCCAGATGACACCTTGCACAGCCTGGGGGAGAGGATAGTGTAAAAAAATGTGTTCGACCCCAGGGGCTGCATGCTTAGCCCCAAACTCACCTTTTCATTTGGATTTCACAAATCCTCTGTCCCCCCTTTACATGCACTTCACGTGTACATGTGCACCTGTGTAAACCTTGTTTTTAAAATAGGCTCAGTATAGGCATACTTGTCTGTAACTTTTGGTTTTCAAATTGTAAGTGAAAGTTTAGAAAGTTACAGAGGCAGGAGAAGTGAGCCAGCTGGGCTGCATAGGCTCAAGAAAGAGGTTTCAGAAGCAAAAGAAGGGCCCTTGTAGCTTAGGAGAGGGAAGGGCAAAGGTAATGTGCTGGGGGCTGGGGGAGGGTGGAGAAGAGGGAGGTGGGACAGGTGAGGGCATGCTCCTGAGAGGGAGAGGGCCTGCCTGTAACTTTTTCCCCCTTAAAATATTAAGAACTTTCTACATCGTATGATAATTTGTTTCTTCAATATATATTTTTTAATATATTTTTATTGATTTCAGAGAGGGAGGGAGAGGGAGGGAGAGAGATAGAAACATCATCGATTAGAGGGAATCATGGATCGACTGCCTCCTGCACACCCCCTAGTGGGGATTGAGCCTGTGACCCAGGCATATGCCCTTGATCGGAATTGAACCCAGGACCCTTCAGTCCGCAGGCTGACACTATCCACTGAGCCCAACCAGCCAGGGCTGTTTCTTCAATATATTTTTTTTAAATGGGATTAGTGTAGATTTGTGAGAAGTCATAGAGACCCCAGCTTCTGGTGGGAAGTCATGGCCCCCCTCTCTTTTCCAGAGGCTCCTGTGATTGGTGCCCGTATGTGTCAGTGTCATCTGTAAGCTCTTCAAAAGGCTGTCACACTCATTTCCGTCAGTAGTTGTGTAGGGGCCAAGAGGCTGCTTCTCACTTATTCTGGTGGCTTCACATACTCCAAGGCCCCCATCTGTGGTCAGACACACATATACCCCGGGCACCTTGCGGAGCTCCCTGAACCAGGAGGGGGCAGGCTGGGATGATCACCTTCCAGAACAGCCCTTAACTCGCACCTACCAACGATCGTGTTTGATGAGTGCCACAAAGCCAAGAATGCCAGCTCCACCAAGATGGGCAAGGCCGTGCTGGACCTACAGAACAAGCTGCCCCTGGCCAGGGTGGTCTATGCCAGTGCCACAGGTGAGGGGGCAGCTGCCAGGGGCAAGGAGGAAGCCTGATCACGTACACACTCAGTGCTGTCTGGCCTGGTGTAGCCATAGTGGGGGTATCACAAGTGCCATCCACACATTGACCTCGAAGCCTGGCCCAAAGGTGGAGCTCACTCTCCCTGGGCCAGTGGTAACTTCCACATCTTCGTGGATGCCAGCCCCTATCAGGGACTCCCCTCTGCCAACTGGCTCCAGCTCCTTGGCTGTGGGTGCTTTCTTGGGACCTTCAGGTCCCTGTACCTGGTCCCTGGGTCATTTCCGGTGCCATGTCCCTTATCCCCCCCAAACCTTGCTGGGTTGGAGGAGCTGATGGTGACTCCCACCTCCAACTCCCCAGGCGCCTCTGAACCCCGAAACATGATCTACATGAGCCGTCTGGGCATCTGGGGTGAGGGTACACCTTTCCGGACCTTTGAGGACTTTCTGCACGCCATTGAGAAGAGGTGAGTGCCCCTCCCTGCCTGTGTCAGGGGCAGCTAAGAGGCCCACAAGGGGACTCATCACATGCAGAGGCCTGGCATCAGTGTGCTCAGTCCACATCCGGGCCCACACTCCTCCAGCAACCAGAGTGAACTTAAAACACAAATCCTGCCCTTTCTCTGTCTACACTTTCCATCGTTCTGGGACAGGGGTGGGCAAACTTTTTGACTCGAGGGCCACAATGGGTTCTTAAACTGGACCGGAGGGCCGGAACAAAAGCATGGATGGAGTGTTTGTGTGAACTAATACATGTTAATACTGCTGCTGGCGAAGGAGCGGAGGGGAGAGCAAGAGAACCCTCCGCTCTTTCGGCTCCGCGGGCTGGATAGAAGAGCCGAACAGGCCGGATCCGGCCCGCGGGCCGTAGTTTGCCCACGGCTGTTCTAGGAGAAAGGGCCCCTCCCTGCTTTTCCCCCCGCAAACCCTCCCCCCCCAACCCCTCCTCAGCCCAGGAGGGTCAGGAAGATGGGAGCAAAGGGCCTTTGCACCTGCTGTCTGCATTCCCTCTGTGCACCTGTCCCTTCCTTGCCCTCCAGGGCTCAGCTCCAGATGTCAGCCCTTCCACAGAACAGCTCCACCACTTGATGGGACTCAGCATGTGGTCAGGCAGGTCCCTGCCAATGCTCAGGCAACCTTGTCTCCATCCACAGGGGCGTGGGTGCCATGGAGATCGTGGCCATGGACATGAAGGTCAGTGGCATGTACATTGCTCGCCAGCTCAGCTTCAGTGGTGTTACTTTTCGAATTGAGGAGATCCCGCTGGACCCGACCTTCGAGCGGGTCTATAACCGTGCAGCCCTATTGGTGAGCAGTGTGCCCAGGGGTCTCTAACTGCATAGACACACATTCATTTCCTCTTGGAATTACATCCCTGTCACCTTCAGCATCTGTCTTTAAAAACACTACAGTGATTTGTCAGGTTACAGAAAGGAGGAAGCAGCCAGCCCTCCTGTCAAGGTCTGTGGCTGGAGCCTAGCGACTCAGTTCTGTTCAAGGCGGGGATTCTTATGTGACTGTGGTGATGTGGGCATGCAGCTGGGCCTCACCAACCTCCCCATGATGTCATGAGTACTTTCTAAGCTGTTTCCAGTGTCCACATCTCTGTACACTGTGGCCTGGCCCTCATCTTCACCATCTTCTCCATGTGTGGAGGGTTCCTGTGTCCTCACTGTCAGAACACACCTACATGAGACAACCCTGAACACTGGCTCTGCCTGTGCTGTATCCTTACCTCCAACCAAGACAGGGTCTCCCCCTCAGCACTGCTGACATCAGAACCAGGTCATCCTATGTGGGCGTCCGTCCTGGGTGCTGAGCAGCATGACTGGCTCCCACCCACTTGATGCCAGGAGAACCCCAGCTCCCAGTCATGACAACTACAGATGTCGCAGACATGGCCCAGTGTCTCCTGGGAGCAGGATCTCTGATAACTGCCGCAAGAGTCACCGCAGATGCCCTTTCCCTTTGTGAAATCATGGCCCACAGGCGGAACCACATGTTTTGTTTTTTTAACATTTCTGACTGTTCAGGTATCGGCAGAGCCTTTGTGTTGCTCTGCACACAAGCCTCCCCCACCCTGGCCCCACATTCCAGCAGGGTGGGGCCTAGGGGACAGTCGGACAGTAGTGAGTTGGGCCGCGTGTGGTGTGTCGTTGCAGTGGGCCGAGGCCCTGAGCGTGTTCCAGCAGGCAGCTGACTGGATTGGCCTGGAGTCCCGCAAGTCCCTGTGGGGTCAGTTCTGGTCGGCCCACCAGCGCTTCTTCAAGTATCTGTGCATTGCCGCCAAGGTGCGCCGGCTGGTGGAGCTGGCCCGGGAGGAACTGGCCCAGGACAAGGTGAGTGGGCGGCAGTGGTAGCTGGGCCTCATGGCTGCACCCCAGATGCCTACACTGGTGCCTGAGGGAGTGAGTTGGTGGGACAGGCACCAATATCCATCTCACAATTGCAGACAAGCCCTAATGTAGCTGGACTGAGTCCAGGAGAACAAAGGTGAGCTGAGGTCCGAAAGGTTCTGGTCCCACCTGACCCCAGCTCCCTGCAGCAGCGGGCAGGAGTGGCCTTGCCCTGGGCTCTCCATGTCCAGAACGGGCAGGTCCCCAGAAGAAACAAGACATAGTAATGAGGGAGTTTGGAGAGCTGAGGTCAGATGTTAGCTTCAATGCAGAGTTCCTTCATGGGTCTGGGTGTGTGAGGCCCTGGCAGCCAACGGCACCCAAAGGGAGAAAGGAAGGAAGGAGAAACTGAGGCAGGCTGGGTTTCTGACTTCAGGGGCTTCCCTCTGGCCCCCTGGGGCCATGCTCCAGAGCTATGGGTGGGGGTTCCAAGTGGGCTCACCCCCACCTCATCCCCCACAGTGCGTGGTCATTGGGCTGCAGTCCACAGGCGAGGCACGGACGCGGGAGGTGCTGGATGAAAGAGATGGGCAGCTTGACTGCTTCGTCTCAGCCGCCGAGTGAGTGATGCAAGCGGGGGTGGGCAGGGTGGCCACACCAGGGAATCCCTCACTCTGTGGCTCGCTGGGCCTCCCCACCAGTGACCTGTGGCCTGGCCCTGCCCCATGACTTCACTTGCTGATCCCTGTCCTTACACCTCAGGCGCAGCTTAGCTTTAAAGCCACAAGGGTTAACTGTGGTGACTTGGGGATCAGAGGGTGGAGGGTACCAAGATTTCAGAATGAAGCTTCTAGGAGCCTGTCCCCCCATGTGGGGATAGTGCTGTTTTAAGAAGGACTCCTCAAAATTTAGGGAGTGGCCTTCAGGGTCCCCAAAACCCCAAGCCTCTCTTCCCAGCCCATGGGAAGCATGGGTTTCAATGTGCCGCCCCCCCTCATTCTGGCTTATCCCCATGGCCCAGCATTGCCTCCTTTCTCCAGGAGCCCCCAGCCCCACATACCCAGCCCACCTACCCTGATCTTGGGAGTTACCAGATGTGTCCACCCCCTTGTCCCTCAGAGGTAGTCAGCTCCACCCAGACCCCCAGCCCTACACCCAGTCCATCGCAGCAAAACTGCCCCTTGAGACTCTGCCCCACTGTCCTCTGGACCTAATCGCACTCGGCGGACAGGACAGCTTGCTCTTCTTCGTAGTGAGAATAAACTCTGCTTCTCACTTTCAGGGGCGTCTTCCTGTCACTAATTCAGAAGCACTTTCCTTCAACCAAAAGAAAGCGAGACAGAGGGGCCGGCAGTAAGAGAAAACGTAAGCACCCACCTGCCTGCAGCTTTGGCTTGTGGCCCTCCTGGGCCTCCCTCCCATCTTTCCTGCTGCCTCTCTCCAGCCCCTCCTTTCTGAGCATCATCCCAGGTCAGCTGGTCACTCTTGCTGCTCCCTCTGTTGCACAGGGTGCCCTTCCCCAGCATCCGCCTGCAAAGGTGGGCTAGGGAGGCGTGAACTCACAGGCATCCTGGAAGGAGGGCATCCAGGGGGCAGTAAGAAGGGTGCCCCGACCGCAGGTTCCCAAGACGAACTGGTGGGGGCAACTTCTGGCCACACTGCCTGCTCATGTGTTGCCATGTGCTGGACCCCAGGCCAGACCCCCACAGGATGGAGAAGCAGGGCTGGGCCAAGGTGACCCCTGGCTCCTCCCCTTCAGGGCGGCCGAGGGGCCGTGGGGCCAAGGCGTGCAGGCCAACATATGAGGCAGCAGGTGTGATCCGAATCAGCGACGACAGCAGTACCGAGTCGGATGCTGGCCTGGACAGTGACTTCCACTCCTCCCCCGAATCCCTGGTGGACGATGACGTGGTCATCGTGGATGCCATTGGGCTTCCTGCCGACGACCGCGGTGAGGCCTGTGACCCACATTTCCCTTCTTTACTTATGGGGAATAGGTTCAGAGAAGGGAAGTCAGCACCCCACAGCTGGTCAGCAACGAAGCTGTGTTCATACAGTCGGGTTAGGGAGAATGTCGGGGCCCCCCACCTACCCTGTACCTGGCTGTCCCCAAGGCTGGCGGGGACCACTCTTGAGTAGGCTGAGTCCTGTGAGTGGGGTTGTGGGCAGGTCACCTAGCCAGTCCCTCCTGACTCTGTGGCCCCACAGGCCCTCTGTGCCCCCCACAGCGGGACCCCCATGGCCCCGGCATCCTAGAGCAGGTGGAGCGGCTGAAGCAGGACCTGCTAGCCAAGGTGCTAGTGCTGGGCCGGGAACTGCCAGTCAACACCCTGGATGAGCTCATCGACCAACTAGGGGGCCCTGAGCATGTGGCGGAGGTGAGCTCTGGGGCCCCCCCACCCAAACTGAGGCTTTGGTGCCCCCTGGTGGCCACTCCAGGTCCCTGCCAACACTGTGAGATGGGGGACAACTGCAGGGTCCAGCATGGGGCAGGGGGGCAGAAAGTGCCTATCTCCCATGACGCCTTGTGTGCCCCTGGGCCTGCCGGTTCTGGGTGCAGCCCTCAGGCCCCAGGCTGGACCCCCATCCCCAGTTTTCCCTGCAAGTCCTTCCTTCCCACCCAACTCTGCTCTTTCCTGGGCTGTGCCTCTGGTGCCACCTCATATCCTTTGTAGCCCCAGGTTGTTGGTCTCAGGGCAGAGACCTTGTTCTGACCCCTCCCCTCACACACAGCCTGTTCCTTGCCCTTGTCCCTGCCCTGCCACAGATGACCGGTAGGAAGGGCCGTGTGGTGTCCAGGTCTGACGGGACTGTTGCCTTCGAGTCTCGGGCAGAGCAGGGCCTCTCCATCGACCATGTGAACCTCAGGGAAAAGGAGCGCTTCATGAAAGGGGAAAAGGTGAGGGGGCACGGGGGCAGGGTACCCCTGTGTGCCAGTGCACATGGGCAGGGAGGAAAAGCTTAAGAGAGGCCCCGGACAGGGGAGGCGCAGGGGTCTTGAGTCCTAAGGGGCTACCTCTGGACCACTAACCACCCCATCCCTGTTATGGCTGTGTGCATGCGAGTGTGCATGTGTGCCTGAGTCGGGGGGCTGGGAGGGGACACAGAGCTCCTGGCTGTCCTGCCTTTGGTCCGGGTGGAAGCCGCCCGAGGAAACAGGGAAAGTGGGCATCGGTGGGGCAGCCACTTGCTTCAGGAGTGACCCAGGGATGGTCCACACTCCATTCTAAGCCCATGTGGCCAACCCCTGCCCCCAGATGGAAGGTACCTCAACTTGCTGTGTGGGTCACCCTAAATACATCAGGGTGACCCAGGGCATAGGTACATGGGAAAGTAAGAGAAAGCCACCAACCAGACCCGTATGCATTCCCCCAGCTCGTGGCCATCATCTCAGAGGCCTCCAGTTCTGGAGTCTCCCTCCAAGCTGACCGTCGGGTCCAGAACCAGCGGCGCCGGGTCCACATGACACTTGAGCTGCCCTGGAGTGCAGACCGTGCCATCCAGCAGTTTGGTGAGCCCTGCCCCTCCCCAGGATACCCGGCTCTTCCCTGTCCCTGCCCTAAGCCTGCCCTAGCCTTGGTCCTGCCCCACTGGGGCAGCCCCTGAGAGCCCCCTCTGTCTCCAGGCCGAACCCATCGATCCAACCAGGTCTCTGCACCAGAATACATCTTCCTCATCTCAGAGCTGGCTGGGGAGCGCAGGTTCGCCTCCATTGTCGCCAAGCGACTAGAGAGCCTGGTGAGTGGTTGAGCTGGACCAGGATGAGCTAGGCGAGAGCTGGTCAGGGGGGCTGTTGAGGGAGCTCCCTGAGGAGGGGAGTGGAGAAGGGTGTGACAGTTCCCCATCCCTGGCAGGGGGCTCTGACACACGGGGATCGCCGCGCCACTGAATCCCGAGACCTGAGCAAGTACAACTTTGAGAACAAGGTACCAGGGCGGTTGGGTGCTTGGAGAGGAGGGGTTTCTGGATACCCAAGTCCAACCTCTGATCTGGCCTCTCTGCTCAGTATGGTGCCCGGGCTCTCAGCTGCGTCCTCAACACCATCCTGAGCCAGATGGAGAACAAGGTGCCCCTGCCCCAGGGCTACCCAGGAGGGGACGCTGCCTTCTTCCGGGGTGAGCTGGGGATGTGGCACATGGGGGGTGTCACTGAGGACTAGTGCGGGGCACTGGGATTGCTAGACTGAATTTGTGTCCAGATAACCCTCTGACACATACCAAAGGGACACTAGTGGCAGAGGGACCTGGGGCGGGCTTGGGGCAAGAGGCACGTGTGAAAGCCCTCCCTTTCTGCAGACATGAAGCAGGGCCTGCTATCGGTTGGCATCGGTGGGCGGGAGTCCAGGACCGGCTGCCTAGATGTGGAGAAGGGTGAGTCCCCCTCACCTTCCAGTGGGCTGGGTAGGGAGTGGGTGGAGTTGACGCAGCCTGAGGCCCTCCTGCCCCCGCAGACTGCTCCATCACCAAGTTCCTCAACCGCATTCTGGGACTGGAGGTGCACAAGCAGAACGCACTGTTCCAGTACTTCTCTGACACCTTCGACCACCTCATTGAGGTCGACAAGAAGGAGGGGAAATATGACATGGGCATCCTGGGTGAGTGCCACCAAGGGAGAGGGAAGGGCCTAAAGGAACCGACAGCCAGCACCCACACACCAGGCCCTCACCAAGAACACCAAGGGCCAAGGGAGCCTCGTACCAATAAAGCTTTTATTCATAAATTTTACAGAGAGCATAGACCCCTACTTTACTTAACTGCCCCCAGGACAGCTGTGTGGAGAGGGTTCTGAGGGGTTCATTGTCTGTTGGGCCAGGCTTACTCTGCTGGGGAACCTCTCCCTCTGCGGGGCACCTGAGAACTTGGGGTTGATGGCCCCCCCCCCCCCCCAAAGCCCAGAACTAGAGCCAGCTGAGCAGCACCAGGCACCTGCCCTCCGGGTGGCACCCATCTCACCTGGTGTCCTCTCCCCAGACCTGGCTCCGGGCATTGAGGAGATCTACGAGGAGAGCCAGCAGGTGTTTCTGGCCCCCGGCCACCCGCAGGACGGGCAGGTGATCTTCTACAAGGTGAGCAGACACCGGCCTCCCCTGACCCTGGCCTCATGCCCCCACCCCCATCCTTAACACCCACATGCCGTGGCAGATCACTGTGGACCGTGGCCTGAAGTGGGAGGAGGCATACACCAGATCACTGGAGCTGACAGGCCCCCATGATGGCTTCTATCTCTCCTACAAGGTGGGCAGACCTGGGGGCAGAACCCCAGGCTTAGGGAAATGGGGACAGTGCTGGAAGCAGGGTACAGCAGAGGGGGAGGGTCCAGCTTCCAGCCTCCTCCCCTCCAGCACACCCACCATGGGAACCCCCACCTGGGTTGTGTCCCTGTCTGCCCCAACCTCACAAGACCCCCTGCCCAGGCTCGTGGCAACAAACCGAGCTGCCTCCTGGCTGAGCAGAATCGCAGCAATCTCTTCACCGTGTACAAGCCCAACATCGGCCGGCAGAGTCAGCTGGAGACCTTCGACAGCCTGTGCCGGAAGTTCTACCGGGTAGGGATGGGGGCGGGGAGGAGGCAGGCAGAGAGGCCCCCAGGATGCTCATGTCCCTGGGCTTATGTATCCCTATTATGTGACCCTTCCCTGCTGGGGCTTCTGCAGCCCCAGGCCTGCCCTCTCTGCCCAGCCCAGCTGGCCACCAGGAGAGGGCTGCCAAATTTGAGATGAGCTGGCCTGGGGCACTGCAGGCTTCAGTTTCCCCAATTGTGCACTAGAAGTGTGGACGGGTCTCTCATTCAGGGTCTCACATGACTGTGTTCCCCTAGGTGACGGCGGAGGAGGCCAGGGAGCTCTGGGAGAGTAACTACACCTTGTCACTGAAGCACTGCAGCCACACTTCGTGGTGAGGGCCCAGGTTGGACTGAGTGGGTGGGGGCACACTGCATTAGACAGTCCTGCTCCATTTCTCTGGGCAGCTCTACTAGGGATGGTCCCACACACCACACAGGGTACGGGGCCCTTTGGGCATCTGGGGCATCTCAGGACCCCCAAGAGGTGGCACAGAGATGAGCTGAGCTAGAATGGGGGAGGAGCCTGCAGGTCATCATGGGTAGGTGTGGGGCACTGAGTGTCTGAGCCGCCCTGCCTGCCTGCCACGCAGGAACCGGCAATGCCGGCTGGTGCAGGAAGGCAAGGACTGTGTGCAGGGCCTGAGGCTGCGGCACCACTACATGCTGTGCGGGGCACTGTTGCGCGTGTGGGGCCGCATCGCTGCTGTCATGGCTGATGTCACCAGCAGCAGCTACCTGCAGATTGTTCGCCTCAAGACCAAGGACAAGAAGAAGCAAGTTGGTGAGTGGGTGGGTGTGCCAGTGGAAAGGGGGTTATGGGGATTGGTGGGCTCTGCACCCGAGGCCCTGACCTGCCACCCCATACACCCTGCAGGCATCAAGATCCCTGAGGGCTGCGTGTCCCGTGTGCTACAGGAGCTACAACACATGGACGCAGACGTGAAGCGCAAGAGAGCGCATGGCCAGGGCTTCCCTGTGCCATCAACTGCCCTGTGCCCACTTGCACTGCCCTGTGGTCCTGGAGAGGTCCTGGACCTCACATACAGCCCACCAGCCCAGGTCTTCCCACCGCCCTCACCCTTCACCTTTCCACTGCCCCAGGACCCTGCGCCCACTCTGCTACTGGGTACCCCTGATGCCTCAGCTGACCCTGCTACCCTCGTGCACCAGGGCTGCGACATCAACTTCAAGGAGGTGCTAGAGGACATGCTGCGTTCCCTCAATGCTGTGCCGCCCCCAGAGCCCCCTGGCCCCCTGGGTGGCGGTGCAGGGGTGCCAGGGGGTGGGGGGGGCCCCGAGCGGCAGAGCGTCATCCAGTTCAGCCCCCCTTTTCCCAATTCTTAGGCCTGGGCTGTGCCCCCAGCCAGGTGTTCTTTCTGGATGAAACTTATCTGTAATACACCAGGTCTATACAGATAAGGTCTTGTACCAAAGTGGGTGGTGAGCAGGGCTCGGTCCCCCTGCCAACTACTGAAAGGAAGGGGGGCTAGGGTGCCCCTCATCCAGCTAAGCAAGGCCTCCACTGTAGTGCCTTCCTGGTCGGTGCCTGGGCAGATCGAGATGCTGCCACTCTGCCCAGGGCGGCAGCAGGTGTGTATGTCCCACTCAGGGCTCAGGCAGGGCCTGGGGGTGGAGCTGCCCTCTTTGTGCCTCTCCTATCCTGCCCTCCAGCCCACCTTTTCAGGCCTAGAAATGCCAGAACCCCTGAAATACACAAAACTGGGTGGCCCCTAGAGCTGGAAACTCAGGAAACCCCCAGTTCTCAGGGCCTTGTCTCTGGGAGGTTGTGTGAGGCAGACCCCCCATTAATATATGCAATTCCCCCTCTACCTGCTCTCTGCTCCCTAAATTATTGCCCAGCTGCCTCTTCCAGACCTCAGAATCTGCCTGTGGAGCTGGAGGGAGGGGTGGGCGGCCCCTGGTTTCTATGTGTATTTATAATTCAGTGTATATATGTAAAAATATCTTTTTTAAAATATATGTGCCTTTTCACTACTTCCTAGACTGTCTGCTCCTCTGGCCCGCAAGGGCGGGAAGGAGGGAAGGTGGGGGTGGTGGGGGGTGCCTGATCCCACTTTGGGCAATGAGGTCAGGGATGGCTACCATCTGCAGGGCATAGGGGAATGTGTGTGAAACTGGCCCACTCTTTGCCCAGACACCCCTCCCATTGCTTTCAGTCACAAGGGCTCATCCCACTCACTGGCCTTATGGCTGAGGGCCAGGCAGGAGAAATACATCCACCCACTGGGGGCATTGCCCACTGTGTTCCTGGCACCAGCATAAGTCAGCTGCCTCTGGACCGGCTGAGCCAGGCTCGTGATGTCTTGGAACAGACCCTGCCTCCTGCCCACTAGAGATATGAAGCCCATCTGGGACCCTCATGGTGGTGAGGCTCCCTCCCCTCTGTGTGCAGGGCTTTGGCCTCAGTTTTCTCCCAGGGTTTCCTTCCAAGCAGGCAGGGCAGCCCAGAGACAGGAGAGCTCAGGAGCTGGGGTCCGGTCTTGAAGGCAGGAATGGATACCAGGCCCCTCCTTAGAGCTGTGGGGAGCACATCAAGCCTCTGGTCCAGGGGCAGGGGACTGCCCCCAGCCAAGAAGGTGGCAGAACCCACCTCCTCCTGCAGGTACCCACTCCCTACTTCGGGCTTTCCCTGAGGCTACCAGAAGATGGGGGCCCACTTTCCAGCAATACCACTCCCCAACAGCTGGCCTCAAATTATTCCCCGTCCTCTTAGGGAAGACTGTGGACTACTCCGCCCCGATTACACCAAATGAGGACCACGCGCAGGCTTGGGTGCCCTGCCTGGTTCAGGGTCCATACAATGAGGCCAGTCGATTGAGCAGGCCCTGCCTAGCATGGCTCTGAGCCAGGAGCAGCTCTCGGATGCTGGGCTCCAAGTGCCTGCCTCCCTCACCCTCCCACCTTGGCCCACTTGGGAAGACCACTGCCCTGGGCAGGTCCCGAAAAGAGGCCTCAAATCATGGCTCAGGGCCAGGAATAGCACCAGTTAAGAATTATCAGCTCTGCCAGTGCCTAAGGGGTGGGGCTGTCAATATTAGAATCAGGGCTGCAGGGTGAATTGCAGGCATCTGAACCTCAAGGGAACTCCACCCCCATGACCTCCCAGGGAGGCAGAAGCACCCAGCAAGCCAATTTGTATGTTTTATTCCCACAAGGCAGCCAGGGGTGGGGGTGCAGAGCTGCGAGCCAGGCCGGGCCGAGGGGCCTTCCTCCGGCAGAGGTGCACGCCGGGTTCTCGGGTCTGCCCCACCAGCAGGCTGGTTTTTAGACAGACTGTCATGAGTGCCGGGTGGAAGGCTCCGAGGGGCGCAGGCGGTGGGCTCAGATGTGGGGGTGCACACTTGTGGAGCTAAAGGTAGCAGGGCAGGTCCTTCTCTATGACCTGTGGGAGAGGCAGGGTCAGAACATCTCTTCCCAAGGCACCACCCCAGCAGGCTCCCTGGAAAGGCACCTACCTGGGGCTCTTCCATGGGACCATACCTCTTCACCACACAACCATTCTTGTCAATGAGGAACTGCCGAGACATGGGGTGTTAGCAGAAGAGTCCACTGGGGGGCCCCTGCAAGAGGACTGAGGGCAAGCAAGCAGCCCACCTGCTGCCCCATTAGGGCCAGGCCTAGGGCCTCTTGGGATGGGGGCACTGAGCTGGCCTTGGACACAGTCCTGGCCTATTCTATCCCCCAAAACCCTTCCTTACCTTGGTGAAGTTCCATTTGATGGCACTAAAAAAAAAGAAAGAATTCATGAGGAAACCCCATGGCAACTACAGCGCCCCCCTCAGCCCCTAGGGAGCCATTCTGCCCTGCCCTCTCCTCCCCCCCACTTACTTTCCCAGGATGCCCCTCCCCTTGGGCTGGGCTTTCATCCACTTCCACAGAGGGTGGGCATCATCTCCGTTCACACAGATCTTGCTATACATATCGAATTTGACATTATAGCCGGCAGCGAACTCTTTGATCTCGGCATTAGTCCCTGGCTCCTGTGGCAAGCAAAGGAAGGTACTGGGGTCAATGTGTGTGGGGAGGGGAGCGTGTACCCCATTTTAGTCCTCCCTTCCACGGGCAGACCTTCTCCCCACGCCCGCACAACAGGGACACTGGGGCCACGCACCTGCCTCCCGAACTGGTTGCAAGGGAAAGCCAGGATCCGTAAACCGCACTCAGCATATCGGGCGTGCAGGTCGACAAGCTGAGTGTAGTTTACGTCTGTTTTGCCTCATTGCGAGGCCACGTTGGTGACGATGCACACGAAGCCCCTGGAGGTGGGATGGGGTGGTCAGAGTTGCTGACCCTCCCTCTGCCTCCCCCACCAGGCAGGTAGGTACCCACCGGTACTTGTCCAGGTTAACCATGCGCCCGTCGATGTCCTTGGCTGAGAACTCGTGCATTGACTGAGCACAGCGCCAGTCGTCACGGGAGGCGCACTGCAAGACACAGACACGGGAGCGGCTGAGCGGATGGGGGACCTCGAGGCCCGAAGACCCCGGCCCACTCGTCCAGCCATGTCCCCACCGCAGGAGATCCCAAATGGATCCCTGCTGAGACAGACGGGGCGGGGGGGACCTCAAAGATGCATGCAACCTTCGCGGGGCACATTTAACTGCAGACATCGAGGCCCAGGGAGGATTGGGGATCCCACCAGGTGCCCCAGCGGGCGGGGGACACCGCCAGCGTGTGTGGAGGCCCCCGCGCGCACCGGATCCTGATACTCGGCATAACAGCCACTCTTCCAGGCCGCGGGCTGTGCCTGCCTCCCACACTCGGGACAAAGCTCCTTCCGCTGGGGGCGCGTCCTCCTGCGACCGTAAGCTGGAGCCTTCCGCCGCCCGAGGGCGCGGCGCCGCCGCCGCCTGCCCGGCAACCGGCGCCGCTGCCTGCAGCGACCCGGGGAGCCGGCGGCTGCGCGGCCCATGCCAACCTTTCGGACGCTCCAGTGCCCACCAAGTGCGGCATCCGGGGGACAAAGGGCCGGTAGCCAGGACTCCCGGCCGCCCATCTGTGACGCCACCGCTCAGTGTCCCAGGGCGTACAGGGCGGGGGAGGGGCGGTGACGCCCCGAGGCGCATGACCCCGGATTAACCAGCCCAAGGGGCTCCCCCACTCTCCGGGCCCCAGTCTGGGGGCCAGTGGCCGAGAGGCCCCCAGCTGTCCCGACGCAGCAGCCCCTGCACGGCCCGAGGGTCCCGACCGCTCAACCCTTCACATCTAGCCAAGACCCCCAGCCATGACCCTGTCTGTACCCCAGCCCGCGCGCTACCCACAGTCCCGACGGCCGCCCGCCTGCGTCCGGCCAGCGAGTTCCCACCCAAGGTCACCATGGCCCTGCGCGCCACGGTGAAGGCCGCGCGCCCGCCCCAACGGCCCGCCGACCCGGCCGCCGGCACCGCACTCACCATGGTGCTGGCCACACCGGGCACGGCAAGAGCACCACACAGAAGCGCTGGCTTCAGCAGGCGGCACAGGCGGCTGAAGCTCATCTCGGCGGCGGGGGCACCCCGGAGGCAGCAGCTCCTCCCCTCGCCGAGCCGACCAATGGACGCGCGCCGGCGCGCCTGGCCTCCCATCCTGCAGCCACGCCCACCAGCGCCCTCATTGGTCAGCCGCTAGGGCGCTGTGACGCGTGACAGCGACAGCCATTGGGAGGCTGGGATGAGGGGTATGTGGGGGCGGGGCCTGAGCGGGCTGCGGTTTTGTTGTTGTCTGTGACTGCGCATGCTCGCTGGCGGGTGGGCGGCCGCCTCCACGCAGGCGGCTCGTTGGTGGCCCGTTAACAGTTACCCGGTAGTTGACCACGGCGCCGCGGGGTGCCACACCACTTGAGGAACTACTGGAAACCCGAAGGGAGGGGTTTTGAACTTGCAGAAAAATCGCTCCAGCTCATTTGAAACTGGGGGTTTTGTTTTTAATGTCAATAAAACCAAACTGGGGTCCAGACACCCGTTATCTTGGGACTGCGGGAGGCGCCTCGGCCCCATCTGGGCGCCCAGCGAGGGCCTGGGGTCACCTAGAGGCGGGTGTCCCGGCCAGAGTCGTCCACTGCTGCAGTGTCCGCCAGCGGGGGGCGGGGGAGCATCACGGTCCTTTAGCCACTTACATAAGTCACACCTGAGCCCTGGCGGGCGGGGGGAGGCGGAGTCATTAAAACAGGCTCCGTGGGATCCCGCCCCCGGGAGAACACGCGGGGGTGCCCAGGTGTGTGCTTGCAGGGAAAACAACCCCAGAGCGACGCCTCCACTTCTAACATTACAGGCGGTGTGTGCACAGCTCGCAGCACGGGAGGCCCCCACCTCTGGGCTCAGGCACTTGGCCACAAGGGCAGAAAAATGACCCACCTCATTCTTGGGACCTGAGTCATGGAATTCCACAGCAGGCCTGGCTGCCCCATCCCCCAGCCATGACTGGAGCTTGACCCTGGGACTGCATAGTGGTTGCAGCATTTTTGTGCTTTGGCAACTTCTTATCCCTTTGTTGGGCCCTCCCATGATCATTTCTGCAAAATCCAGGGCAGGGGGCAGGATTCTTGGGGCTGGGTTCATTTGGGAGAACCATTGAGCCCCCTCCCTCTGCCCCTGACCCAGACCTGTCAGAGGGTAGAGCAGGGAGCTTACGGTGGAGCTGGGAAGTAAAGTCAGTAGAGGGAGAATGTTCCCCTGCCCCCTGCCGGGTTGCTACGTGCCCCTTCTTGCACAATGGTCTTCATCATGGCTTCTTTCCTCCAGCCCAGCCTCCATAGTTCTGCGAGTCACCCCAGGGGGTGGGGGCATTGTTTCAGCTGCGCCTCCTCACTTCTCAGGAAACCCCCCTCCGTTCCTCCTCTTGGCAGCACTGGGTATCCCAGACTGTCTGTCCTTAGGAAGACGCAGCTGTTTCCACTTTTGTTTAAGTTGGGATCCTTTGTTATTTGCTGTTACCCATTTCAGAGTTGCCAGAAAAACAGCGCAGGGTGAGGCCCCCAGGGAGTACACCAAGGGTAA